TCGCAAGATATAAGCAAACACAATTAAAAGTGAGCAACAATTATAATTCAGCGAGCGATTTCATATTTCTCGCTGCTCGACGATCCTCTTCACTGCCGACGGTTAATTTGTTTCTTGCGATGAGACAAAACCGTGCATAGCTATCGCGCTCGCGCATTCGCGCAATAATCAACGCACAATTGCAACATAAAACGTGAAAAATCTACAAACATGTTGACTCATCAAATTACAATTTACAATGATGAACGGTCTACGTTGTTTCATACTCAGTGAATACCACCACCAGAGAGAAATGAATTGAATCATAGCTTTCGTTGTAATTCAATTGAGAAAAAGAGAGATTCGACGCTGTATAAGAGAAAAAAACCAAAATATGAAGAAGTAAAAACAACAAATCAAGATAAATCAGGTCTTTGTTTTCTCCATCGAAACAGTGTTTAAGCAAATGCATCTGTATGTGTGTTGGTTGGTTGGTTGGTAAAGCATCAAAGTTTTCGAGCAAAGAGCAACTGACGTGATTCAATTTAGTAGATAAACGAAATGCAATCGCGCCGTGTGCTCGCGCTTCACTAAATGCGAACCATGTAATGTCCAAACTGGCTTGTGCAGTACAACAACTTTCTGCACCATTAACTCAAACACTTTGAGTCTGTACATTTTGGCTCTTGTATTTTTCTTCTTCATCAGACAGAATCACGTACAACCTTGATCTTTTTCAGCCGTGCATGCACGAATCATATGACCTGTGTGTATTGTTTGGTCAAATTTCTTTTCTCTTTTGTTTCTCACTCTCTCGCAGCCGTTTTCTGATTTTATTTTTTCAGAGACGATGCAGAATTTTTTCAGTCAACAACATTAAAATTGGCTTAAGCACCGTCAGTGCTTTGCTGGGGGAATATAGCACAGTGCGAAAGACACAATGAGAAAACTAGGTAATTGGATTAATATGTAATGGATATGATCTCGTCATCAAAAGTAAGCGAATTTGATGAGAAGCGTCAACAACGAAGATGACGATGATGGCGGTGGGTATGTCGTGAACTAGGCGGGTTTGTATTCTCAAAAAAAATGCCCATGCAAACGATTTTAGTGAACTAATTTTTTTTTCTTCGTCTGTACCTAACTCGCAAAAAGTTTGTTGTGTCTCGGAATATTTCGTGTTTATACATACAATTCGGGTAAACCGCAGATTTTTCTCAGGCTTGGTTATAATTTTAGGCATGCGTTATCGTTTCAAAGAAGGGTAATGCCACAACAAAGTATCATGAGCAGCAGCAGCTTGTTTTTCTCACACGCCATGATAATCACTATATGACTCATTCGTGTATGCCGCTGTGTGTTTTTTTTTCTCTTTAGTCTGAAACATTCTTTCTTTTTGTTACAAACGAAGTAAATTCAGCGGTTTATTTGCAGATATTGGCAACGGTTCATGGTAAAAATTCGTTCAAAGTTGCTCATAGTTGCTGCGGTAGTTTCATTGTTACTAAACAGCGTTTCACACTTGGAATCGAGATTAAGATCCAAATACATCCAATTGACAGAGAAATCTTGATCGAGGGTAATTGAATCTAGTGAGAATGAACTACTGCACGTGTTTTATGACATCATAAACAATGGCAATGACGTTACAATGCATAAATAGACATAGAAAATGGCAATTATAACGTGTACATATACGGATGAAACACGCACGCATACACAATTGATAAATCGATGTGCGCTAAACAGCGTTCATGACACACTGGCAAATATATTTTTCAATTTGTTATCAGTATCTCGGGTACAAGTCACTTATATCGTGACTAAGCATTTCAAGAATGTTGACTGGTTTTCATATCGGCCGACTACTACTACAAGAAACAAAAAATGGGGTAAAAGAACGTAAGCTGAAAAACTATCAACTGATCGGGTTTTTGAAATGCATACCGGGGCTAGGTAATGGTCCAGCAAGAAGCAGAGAAATAGATAGAGAGAGAAAGAGCTACAGTGAGAGATATGACCATTATGCCATTTATCGTATTGCAGCTGAAGTCATGGAAACAACAAAAAATCGTATGAAATGACGTAGTATAGTGATTCGACGAATGCGTGCGTATATATAAGATTGCGTTAAGAAGCTATTTCTCAAAATAACATGAAGCTTTTCAAGTGCTGACACATTTATCGGCTGGATTTTATTTAGCTTAAACTAAGATCAATACGTATCGAAACAACAAGTAATCTATCTTCCATTGAGCTACAAATGAACAAACAGAAGTGTAAACGAAACTCGAAGCAGAGACGGAAAAAGCATGAACGATACATATCCACATTCACGACTCGACGAAAAAAAAAATAAAGTAAACAATTTGCAGTGAAGCTACTAGTGAAAAATCCGTAGCCCAAATTAAAGAATTGATAAATTATTTGCGCTTAGGCCATAGTATGTGAGAACCAACTGCGTTTGTTGTTTTTATTAATTTTACGAGCACTTGTGACATTTCTGGGTTGTGGCCCGCTTTTTTCATCTCTCTCTCTCTCCCTCTCTCTCTCTGCGTTAACGCTTCTTATGGGATTTTATGGGTTTGACTTTGTTTCGTCCCGTTCAAAAAGTTAATTGAACTCGTACAGACGATTTAATCTCATTAAAACGGCTTTTCGTGCACGACGTACAGTGAGCTTAGTTACATAGCTACACCAACGTATGCTCGCTGTAGCAGCAGCATTAGCATTGTTATTAATGTGTATGGAATCGATTACAAAATGCACATTGGATGCAGAGAGAGAGAGAGAGAGAGAGAGAGAGAGAGAGAGAGAGAGAGAGAGAGAGAGAGAGAGAGAAGAACACATTCTTTGCATTTCAGTACGTTGCCACTTAGAATATACACATACACATATGGAGTTCACGCACTTGTTACTGCGTTTTAATTTTGTCGAGTTGCAGCCAATGTGACTTGTAATTATTCTTAAGCACATTAGCATCGTTCGAGAGAAGCAAATATGCATATCGATCAACGCTCATTTATAATGACCAACGATATGACTTAATCAAGCCTGGCACCAATGCGAGCTCGGCTGAGCTAGTAATGAATTGCATAAACTCTTTATGACAGCGGTCAATCACCAGATTGTATACAAACTTGTTATTCATTTAGTTATGTGATCAATGTGTTCAATTCAAAGTCTAAAGATTTGTGCGCCTATTAAGGCGTTCGCTTTGCATGCAATTGATTCGTTTTAACAATGAACTCAGGAATGCCGTTTATAGACAAAATTCAAAATAGTAACTGTTTGCACAGACAAAACGGCATTGTTATTCGTTCAAGAACTTTGGCGCTTCCGAAATTCATGTAAACACATTGCGACACACACAATAGATTCACAAGTGGTGTCATATTTGGTGTAACAAAAGCCAACATAATGCGGCGTATTAGTTTACGCTTCAAACCATTCAAAAGGTCATAATGACGAGTGTGTGTTGTTTTGGCGCATACAATAATAATTCACTAATTTGTATTTATAAATAAATCCAAATGTATGCGTAAATTTGACAACATGTAACTGAAATTGGCCAAATCAAATGTCATTTTGAATATTTGTTAATTCACAAAACACTTGTCCTTCACTTGGCACATTTGTATTTTTGGTTTCATATTTGTTTGCGTCTGCCACTGCTTGCTACTCGAAGGTAATTTTTAATGTTCATCGCGAAGCAAAAGGACCAATTTAGGCTCAATTACATAAGCCAAAAATGGTTCAAGATCTTATTCGCTTGAAATAAAACCGATAGCGAAACTATAATGAGTTAAGTAAAAGTTGTCAAACCGGAAAAAAAAATTCACTCCGCTTCCGAACATGGAAAACTGTTTTGTTTTGTTGCATCTCCCCCCCGCGTGTTCGAATTCAATGTGAAAAGTGTGTGATAAAACCAAACGACTTTCATCGATTTGAATTTCGATGCACGAAACCGCGTACGCCGCTCAAGCAATTTTAAAGTCCATTTTATGTGTCTTTATTTTAACAAGCGAACAACAGACGAACAAACAACACGGTTCATTCAAATGCATGCGTTGCATAAATCGCCCAAAACGAACAGCAGCAACAAATTAAAACCAGCTGAATGTGCTGCATCGAATTTCAATGGGTGTACTGTGTTAAAAATGGTGTTGCCAATAAACACTGCAACTGCACAACAATATCTGCTGGCTGGCCTGCTGAAACGGCAGCCTATCTCGAAAATCGCAAAAACACAAAACAATTTTTATAAGAAAGTAAACTAATTTGTTTGGCGAGCGAAAGAAAGCGGAATTATATCAGCTGTGTGTACAGTCAGAAAGAGCATGGGTCTGCAGTATTTGATTATTCCATGGAGAAGTTCATGCAGTAACCATGTGAATCGGTTATAAACAGTTTGGTTTCTGTGTCAGCACACTCGTCGCATTGATTTTGATCGTATAAACATTTGCTTTGTGTGTGTTTTCTTCCATATGTAATCATCTGAAAATGGGACGAATTCTTGCAGTAGCCATAAATTACGGGGCAGAATGGTGATGGCAGGAAAAAAACAACGAAACACAAGCAAAAAAAAACAGAGATCGTAACATCAAATTGATTCACGCTAGACTTCAAACAAATGCTCCCAATATATAAATTTATAGAACGAGAGCACAAAGTTTTCGATTCGAAATAACAAAAACTTCCATTCTTTTGCCAATTGAACTCTCAGCTGCTTTTTCTGTTGTTGTTGCTTTGAGAGAATATCAAATCGATTCATTTTGTACACCATTTGCACAGAAAATTACTATTCAAAGTTTTTCGCTTATATCATTCGGATGTTTGTTTGAACAGTTTTGCTGTTTGAACGATGAAGAAAATAAACTTTTTAGTTTTGTGTTTGTTTTTCTCTCGTCATCAAATGAAGGCATTTATTTAAATGTGCACATTGCAGTCGACGAACTTATAAATATATATGATATGCAAAGAGGAGAAAAAAAATCTGGTTCATGGCTTTTTAATATTGGGCTGAATTTGATTTGTACGCTTTTTGTTTCTTGACAATTACGTACGTATCAAATGGGCGCAATTACAGATTACTGTTGCAGCCAAGCAACAATTGCCAATGTAGGCAGATTTTCAAGCGAATTTTTGCAATGCGGAATACAGCGAATGACAGAAAAAAAACGCCAACTCGAAACACACACAAATGAAAAAAAAAAAAATAATTGTAACCGATTTCGAAAGTCTGTCATCAATATGCAGTGCAAAATTTCAATGTCAAATTTGTTCTACATTTACATACCGAAGCGTGAATTCAATATTCCGAAGGAATATTTTTATATTTCTGTTTGTTTCGAACGGTGAAAGAATTTCAAATAGGAGAACGAGTGTGAGTGCATGCAGAGAGTTAGAGTGAGAGAAAGAGAAAGAGAGAAAAAGAAAAAAAGAGAGAGAGATAGAGGGAGAGAAAAGGAAAAAAATGAACAATTCTCATCACGTGTTGCGAAATTCCCTTGCATTTGGCAAATTTTATCAATGAGAAAAAGAAAAAAAGAGCAAAAAAATTGTCAGAGACAGATAAAATGTACAGCTATAGAAAAAATACCATCGAAATAATTACTGTTGTTGCCTAGCTATTAATAGATGCAAAATAATTTATAAATATATATTTATCGAAATGGGTGATTCCAAGTGAGTTCGCGCGCGCTTGTTTGTGCTTGAAATTTTCGTGGAATTTCCTCGCCACGTCCGCCCCGAATATCATTATCCCGAACGTCATCGGCCGCTAAACATACGATGAATGTTGGAAGCGATTCATTAAAATTTTCAAACGATATCCAAGTGAATGCGAACTGATTTTCGGCACGTATGATCCAAATCAATTACTGCGCGGTCCGCAAAACGGAACCATGTATTAAATTGCGGTAGTATCGCAAACACACAAAATATGTGTAATGTGCAATTAAAACAATTTAAATTCAAGTGAAAATTTCTAAATTTCATTTCATATTATTTTAATGAAGTGATTGAGGAAAACGTCGAGAAATGCGCGATTGTTTGGTGTGCGGCTTCGTTAAAACAAAAAAAAACACTATATTTTCGAAATCGTTCAACGGTAACGCCGCGCGTATTTATAGACAAAAAAGCAACAAGAAAAAGAGTTAATCAAACAATACCTTCTCTCGTACGTTGCTTTATTCCAATCGGCAGCAACATTATTAAGTAAACGATGGTACACATGTGCATTTAGACGATGTGTACAATTTGTATGCATGTAAATAATCGCGAAATAATTTAATTATATAGAAACAGTAAACGAATGAAGAAAAGAGAAGAAATGAATACTCAGGTGAACGCAAAAAGTACACACAATGAGAGAAAAAAGCTATCCATATTGTGTGCGCCGGTGTAAGTAATTTGCTAATCGTTTTTTTCTTCGTTGATGTACAAAAGAGAGGCACACAGAAGAGATAATCGTGGAGAGCGGAATAAATGAATAGAATACGAGAGAATTTTTCACACATTTACTAGCACTTTTGCAATGTTTTTAGCTAAGACAAACACTGCTTTTTCCCTGTACTTCGTTACACTTGATGACTATTTTGATTGCGTCAATTTTGTGTTTTGCTCGCTGTATCGCTCATCTCTTCTTTTTCTCTGTCTAAATCCACCTAACATAATGCAACAACAACAATGATCGGTTTTCTGACTGCTTTTTTTTTATCGCATGTCTTGAACGTCTTCACTCTCGATGGAATTTAAAATATGCGCAAATATTTACCCAGTAAATGATGAACAGATATGACGAACAAACTCTTCGATGTGACATTATAATGTCGTGATTTTTTCAACTTGATTTTGAATGGCATTTTTTCGCATGTGTGTGCCGCGTTCGTGTGTCGTTATTGTTATTGTTGTTGTTGTTGTTTTTTTTATATAGTCTTCACGATGAAATCGAGTTGATTAAATTATGGAATCCGTAGTCGTTGTCTTTTGACGCTGCTGCTGCTGTCAATATTGTCCCAATTGATGATCAGTTGATGCAGGTTTTTGTTCGATCGTCTCGTTCGCTCTTTTCACACTGAATGAAGATTTTGATACAGAAATGAAGAAGAAGAGGGAAAAGAAAAACAAGAATATCAACTTTATTAAAAATCTGGTGTCTTGGTTCGTTCGTTTATACACAATGTCACTATAATAAAGGTATTCAAAATCGTGGCAAAAACTCCCAAATGACCATGTGTTTTCGAATATTTGTAGGTGTTTTTCAATCGAAAATCGCAATCGAACCACTCACTTTGTTTTACTAGGTGTACAAGGGACCGAAAATCGATCACATTTTTTGTTTCTTTAAATTGCTGCAAATTACGACGGTTTCGATTGATTGTGTTTTTAATGAAAATTGTTTGTTGCTTATTTTTCGCGATTCCAAATGTTTCAGTCGATTATTTTGGCACACATTCAGAACATAGACACAAGCACAGGCACAATTGGCTATATCGAAAAAAACCATGGGCACAAACTGAGTACATAAACACACGTATACGGGAATCTATGTGGTTATAACGATAACACAATTTGTCAACGATACTGCGCGAAACAAAAAAAAAGAACGGTGTATTTTTGTGTGTGTTCTTTAAACTGCTTTACAAGGAAAACTGAAAAAAATTGTACGAATTAATCAAGCGTAAAGACATTCACAAGTTATCGTGTTTATTGCTTCGCTAGATGTTGTTTGCGCGAAATTCATCGGTTCGGTTGATCGTAGACTCGCAAGCGGTTAAATGACGGTGACAGTAGAGATGGTGGCGCTGAAAATGGTACCGATTTAGCTTGTGGGTGTAAAAAGAACATATTTAGTCATTTTCAACACCGATTCTCACATTTAATTAAACACACTCAACAAAGCACTACGAATGGACTGATGTTGAAATATTTATTTAAAGAATTCGAAAGAATAATTCTTCGGTGAGAATGTTTTGGGTCGCGTCTAAACGATGACTTCGAATGTAAACTGCACAGTGTAATTTACATGGAAGCGACACAACGCATTCACTCGAAACACGAACTCAACTCGACGAAAAACCACAACAACAACAACGAAAAACGCCAAACAAGGAGACAAAGAACGAAATATTCCAGTTGCAGACGGGAAAGAAAAAATGCACGGGCTTATACACGCACTATTCGAATGAATTGTGAACAAAACGCACCAGCCATTCTCGTTAGACAAACAATACTAAATGAACATGAACGTCGGACGAATTAATGTAACACACAAATGAGCAGCGAAGCCAATGCCGAGCACACCGAAACCAAAATAGAAGAGACGATATACACGAATCGAACAACAATAATAACAAGAGCAAACCAAATCGGAGCCGTGCACGAACGAACGAACGATGAGTGAATATGAGAATGTATGCGGAGAGAGAGAAAAAGAAAAGAGAAAAAAAAAACACCTGTCGCACGCTCAATGCACTCACACGATGAGAACGATGAAGAAAGAAAAATTTACCGATACTCAACTCTTTTTTTTTACATTTTCTATACTTAATCGTGTGTTGTGTGTTTCCCTCTCGTTTCAACATGGGAATTTCACTTTGTCGCGATTTCGTTTGCACTGCGGTTTGCTTCAATTTTCACGTTTTAACCTTTAGAACATGAAATGCTGCGTTTTTTGTGTTCAATTGGTTGCTCTTCTTCATTTTTTTTTTCTCGTCGAAACGTTCGAATATAGCGTTTGTGTGTGTGTGTGTGTGTGTGTGTGCGTGCATGCGTTTGGGACGTACACGGGTACCTTTCGATCAATGCAATGGCGTTCATTGACTGTGTCTTCCTTTTCGACGGATGTGCGAGTGCATTTTTCTATGCGTAGCACCGATATCCATTGGTTCTTGCCTGTACCAGACATTCGGTGGCGGCGAGCGGCTGTATGCGTGTATTGGAATGCAATCACAGCACCAACTCTGCACTTAAATGTAACTTGCTTCATTGTTTACGGCCACCGCTCGAACACAACAAACACATATATTTTCGTATTCGACTCTTACCGTGTACCGTGTATCGCTCTCTTCCTGTGCATTGATTTCGTGGTGTGTGTACGTGATTGTGTGTAATTGTATTGCATTCGTTTGTTATTTGGCCATAATTACATTGTTTATTACTGTCGCCGTATTTCTTAATGTTCTTGCTTCACAATGTATGCCATAGATTTTTCATTTCGATGGCTCAACCTCTCGAATGGAATGTTCTATCGAAATCGAATGAACTGTAACTTATTTCAGATTTGCCATCACATATTGAATGAATCAGAGATATTTTTCAATTTTTGGCTTGAGATCGAAAGATCAATCACCATTGAAACAACACCAGCATGAAATGGTCACTTGAGTTTTATTAATGCCACTTGAATATTTCTCTTCTTTGAATAAATTCGTTATCGTCAGAATTTAAAACACAATATTTTATCTTTACCATATTATTCATACAACACCAACCAAACAATCTTTACATTTTCCTTATTATAAAACTATCGAACACAACACAAGCAATACGGAACTCAACCCAAACTGAAGCCTTTTCAGTTTGACGTTTCTGACTCTGCGATATTTTCTCTTTTAGTTCGGCTCTCAGTTGCTTTCTCTCTCTCTCTCAATCTCCGCCACTCTCAATTAAGTTGAGCACAAAACTGTTCAACGTACCGCGATTTAAATCGCTCAATTTTAATTGAGCCGAAGCTTTTTTTACATGAGCAAAAATCGAATGCTGATATTTTGTTTGGGAAAATCACACTATTTTCATTTGAATGTTTTTCAAACTGTTTATTTTTGATGTGACTAAAGAGTGAACACCAGCGAACACATTAAAATGTCATTATGACAAGTTGAAATGTTCGATCAAGTGCTTTTAACCACTCACACTAGCACAAAGTTACGATTACGTTCAATAGATGGCGCTGTTTTCGTTCATTGAGAGAAAGAGAAATTTAACCGATTTTACTTTCAAATAATAAGTAGTGAAGCCAAAGACAAGTTGCTAAAACTTGCCTAATAATAAATGATGTGAAAAGGGTGTTTGAAAAGATGTTTTTTTTATAATTTATTTGTTGGTTGAATGTTGGAGCAGAGCGAATGACTAATTATTTAGATTTAAATACTTCAAAAATGGGTCACTATCCGCATATTTTGATTTATTTTCCCGTCATAAATAGTTGACATCAAGTGCGATTAAATGAATCAAAACAAATCACTGTCTTTTATTTTTAAGGCACATGCCATATTCACAACACATAGTAATTCATGGAAGGTGTGTGCTTGAGTCGAGCATGCTATCTTCTATGAATTTATTAACAGCAACCGAGTTATTTGAATAGGTTTAAAATGTCATAGCCAAGCATTAAGATTTCTAGCAAAAGGCGCCCTTTTCATGCCACTCAAATGCCGCCACAATGATTGGAATTGTATTTGTCGTGCATTTCATAATATATATTCAAATATATTGTGTTTGGAATTAATTCAGCAGTTTAATTGATTCGGCATGTATTTGCATCGCAAAATTAGCATATATGCCTTGTGATGTGTGCAAGTTGGATTGAATCATTAAATGGCAAATGAATAATGCGACAGACTTCGATAAACCCAGAATTTTGTTAGTTAGCAAATAGTGTAATCATATCAAAGGTGTGATATGACTAGTAAGATTATTGAATTACAAGCATATACGGCTTTTGTTGTAAAGAATAGTCAGTAGTACATGTGCAACCTGATATTGTTTTAGTTGAACCAAGCACATTTCTGACTCGATGACCTCTTGGAACGACTGCAGCGCACATTTACTGTGAAATCGGAAAATTACGACAATTCAGCACCAATTTGGTATTGTGCACTAATTACACTTCAGGTGCATAATAACAAATCTCTGCTTTCGGCCGCATTTTGAGTTGCTCAGCATTACTGGGTTTTCGACGACATTGGATAAAAACTTTATTATTTCGTGTATGAATCTCTCTCTTTCTCTCTCATTCACTCACTCTTTCGCTCTCAATTTCTGTCCCTCTTCCGTCGCTTTCTTCTATTTTTCTTCCTCTTTCTTCCGTTTCCTCTGCTCTTCTCCAGCTCGTTCTCGGTTTAATAAATATAGAACAAGTTTAGATGGAATGAAGAAAAAAAAGTTGAAAAGAAAATGAAAAGCATCGACGGAACTTTGTCGGAGAATGCTCTATGGGTAAAAGAGTATTGAGGGAAAAGTTTATCATTGCGTCAATCCGCATCGCAGGCACCGAAGAACCAATTTCATAAAATGCAAAGTTCGATTCCAAATCCATACATCATTTGCCTTCAATTATGCAGACGCTGTTCAATCTGAATAGGCACAGATGCTCCCATCCGCTGAATGCTGATTCAAACGAAGTGTAAAGTTTTTTTTTAGCACAAAATCTCTCTCTCTCTCTCACTCTTTATGCGAGAGTTCAAGTATTGATTTTGCATTAATTTATATGGATACAACTATTGGATAGCACTCGAACGAACTAAAATTGGGTTGGAATTAATACAAAGTCATTGTGAGGCCTACTTGATATTAATTTCATTTTCGGATAATACTCTACAGTGCATAGTATACTCTAGAAGAGCCTCTCGAATTAGCTAAATTATAATGTTCACTAGGTGAAATAATAATTCATGTCGAAGTCAAGTATTTTGAAATATTATTTCGAAAAACTGTAAGTAAATAAAGAAACATTCTTCAGAGCGCCACGAGCAGGCGGCATGTATTTAACGTTCGTTGAACGTGTTTTTTCATTGCTATCTATCATCACGTGCGAGGTCAAGGGCTATGCCAACAGTCTGTTTAAAGATCGGCGACGGGCTTTTTTGTACAAAACTGTAAACTTTCATCTGTTTACTGCATATTGAAATTTTACTTCATTTCCCATCGTCTCAACTTATTCGAATCTCCAGATGATTGCATGCTACACAATATGTACGCGCGCGTTTCTCATCTTTGCCTCTTATCTATCATCAAATCGGCCGTAAAAACAAATTTCCACGCCACGTTCAACGCGCTGCAGAAAATGAATGGTGAGACCGTTCGTGCACCTGTCCTCTTGTGTATTGGCCATATCACTTGGCCTTAAGCTATTTATTAAAGCGTTACAACAACATAACCAATGCAACCGATTTTAATTGTATTGACACGATGAGAAGCCCATCATTTTGCGTTCGCATGAATTATTGTGATTTTGATAAATTATCACTGCACGTTTTATTATTAGACAACGTTACGAAGTTTTTCGTCCCTTTTTGTTTGCCGTTTGAAAACGGAGTTGTGTGTTTCTTTGTTGTTGCTGCTGTGCAAAGTTTTGGGCGAGACGGGTTTCTTTTGTTTGGCGGCAAGTCAAGCATGAATCATCCATTGCGTGAAGATTCTTCGTCGAAGAATAATATAAATTTAAATCGGAGCTCGCGTCGTGAACCGCTTTAGTCACCATGTGCAGATTCACACAGCAAGTCCTTTTGGTTTCGTCAAAAAAATGGAATGTTCCACACGATTCACGATTTCGGATATATGTCAACATTTTATTAAGAATATCACGCTTTACATGCCAACACAAAAGGAAAAATCACGACACAATTTATTTTTGATATGAAAATAAATTACATTTCAAAGAAATACGGAGAAAATTAAGTGGCACCGCTTAGCATGTATGCATTTGGTTGAAAGTGTTTTTCAATTGAAAATGAAGCGTGAAGATAATTTCGGTGTGGTGAAATTTCCTATTCATGCTCGAATTTAAATATTTTTTTGGAGATATTACATTATTTACATCGACTTTTATCCCAGTTTTTATTTATATTGGCAACATTTTCACGCAGAGAACGAATTTACTCATTCTCTGCGCTTATAAGCGCAGTATGGTAACTTTTCTGCAATCCCATCTTTTCAAAATAACATTCATTCCATCAAGTGTATGACTTTTGCTTGTTCGACAAGTTAGAAATGGTCGTTCACATGTGCTGAGCAACACTCTTGAATAATGCGAAACGAATTCTCGAATAAATTAAGACGCTACGAACGGGAATGCTAGAACCGAAAAGCTAACGCAAAAGTAACATGTTTGAATGTGTGAAAGTTCTATCGGAAATGACACAAATGAAATGGGAATTTAATGAATTGATCCTGAGAAAGCGAAATGGGCAACGGTATTTGGAGAGAAAGTTCTCGCAAAATCCAGATGCAATAAAATGAATTCGTTACGGAATGTAATTTTCGATTTTAATCGCCTGTGTGTGTGTGTGTCGAATCCCAGCCTCTTATTATCGTGCTCAATCCCGGAGTAATGCGATGTTACACCTGAACCACCCGTCTCTCATCTACGTGTGTACATGAGTACGAACTAATTAAATGGCACAGCAAGTGTTTCTTCAGCGGGATAAAGCAAGCGAATGTATATTGAGTTTGAAAATCAGATGTTCCATGTCGCTGCAGTTGGGCTGAGAGTATAGTAAGAGTGTAATGGCAAGGTATGGAATAGTAAGGTGCGGTGTGGTACGTTAAGTTGATGCAAGGTTTGGCCTCTTCGCATGTACACTTATTTTATGTAAAGTCCTTTTATTTATTCGTCGTAATTATCAAGCCAACGGATTTGTTGGTACATTAATTTAATGTGTTCGAGTGCTCGAGTGCCATGCAGTCGAAATCTTCTCGGTTCGCATTAAGCTAT